TTTGTCCTTTTTATCGCCAGCTCTATTGCGTATTGCCAGGCGGGACAATTAAAGAATTCGTAAATCTTTTTAGACCTTTCTACAGCGTGCAAGCGATAAAAAATGCAGGAAGTTGTTGGAAATCCGCATCCGCACATTAGAAAGCTGCAGCTGTCAATACAGAAGGTATTACCTGGTAGGTCGTTTACTGCATTTAATTCAGGTATTTTTGAATCTAGCTTTGTATTTGCGCATGTATCGCCAGTACAACTACCTTGCTTGGGGCAGCGTTTGCTAGAGTAGGTTTTTATTTCGTGGCTGCGCGAAAAATATTCTGAAGATTTTTGGCACTCCACTACTATGTCCTCTATTGTTATGTCCACAATCCCCATTGGCAGTTTATTTGCTCCCCTGATTAGCAGTTGCGCGATTCGATGACTAGGGGTTAGCGTTAAAATGGTTTCGTGGCTAACATGGCATTTGGTTTGATTATTTTCCAGTTTAAAGCAATTTTCTTCGTTCGCGGAAAAAGAAGCGAATTGGGAAGCGCCGTTAGCTAGTTTGATTATAGCTAATATTACAACTATTTTGGATATAGTTGTTCCTCGGGCCCCGAATTTTTTCCGAAAAGGGGTAAATGGTTTAAATTCCCTTTTTTGTTCACTTTTAATTTCGGCTAGTTCTATGTCGTTTTTAGTATTATTTTTCTGCTGATCTTTGTTTCTAAGCCTATTTTCAATTATTTTTCTCATAATTAAATAGGGAATTTTAATTATTAATTTTAAAATAATTTTTAGAATGCGCAGTGTTGTTTTTATACACCAAACCAATTCAGCAATTGTAATGCATATTTTGTTTAATAGAAGGCAGAATTTGAATAAGCAAGTGAGTATTATTGCAATTAGTATCCCTCCTATTATTGCTGCGTAAATTGGCCAGCATTCAGGATTCGCTAATAATTCTGTGCAGATATAGCAATTTATTAATTCGCAAATTTTAACGCTTGGACATTTTACAAAAATTTTATTTATTGGGTTACTTTTTGTCGTCCATAGCTGCATTGAGCAGGTGTGCTCGTTTAATAAAATGTCTTTAGGGAGAGTGACTAGTTTATCTGATTTTACTCTCTCGAAACTAAAACAATAGGGTGGGCAGCAAATTTCCATTTTTGAGAATTTATTTTCTTCAAAAATTGCCTTAATCCCTTTTGTTTCGCAATTTAGTTGGCATGTTGCGCATTTACTAATTGCTTTTTTATTAGTTCCGTTAAAATGTATGCGTTTATACCCCCATGCCTTTATAGGAATTTCTACGTCTTTTGAAATAAAAAGCGTGGTTTCGCGGTGTGGGTAATAGCAAAAGCGTGTTCCGGATGTTAGACAGTCATGTATGGAACAGTAATGCGGGGTTCCTATTGTTGCTCCCTTACCAATACAGACTTCATCCTTATCAAATACGTCTATTGTGCGTATTTGTAATTGTTGGACATGGTGAATATTTCCATTAAATAATTCAATTGTAGGAATAAGCATAGAAATATCGTTGTCTGATTCAATTTGTTCTGGAGACGCTATGCTATTTAATTTTGCTTGCTCATATATTACGTAATTGTTTGTGTGAGAGCATCCAGCTGCCCAGACGGGACATTTACCGCAATTATCTAAACAGCTCCAGCCCCCTGATACTGGTGTCAGAAATTGATTTAATTTTATAGCATAGTTCGGGAGGGTCTTTTCCAGTTTTTGAATAAATTAAAATGCCCTTTGAATTGCAATTGCTTTCTGTATGTAATAATTGCCCTTCCGCTTCACATTCGTAAGGTAAAAGCGGTGTGCGCAAATTTGTTGCGTTAGCACAAGCGATTAATTGCAGGCATAGTATTAAGAAAGGTATTGTTTTTAAGCCGTAAGCATTAGCGTTGATTTTTTGCCTGGCTTTTTCTTTGGCATCCCTTTTAATTTTTGGGCGCTCTTCGTTTATTATTGGCTCTATTTGCGTTTCTTTTGGTTTAGGAATCGATTCTTCATCCCCACCTATTTCAAGCGGAACTAGGTGTGCTAGAGCCCTTTTCAAAATTTTTCCGTTCGGCATTAATACTTTTGCAGAGCGAATAGATGTCGGATCACCGGGAGGTAATTCCGAAATTCTTCCTAACCGCCAATTTGCCCTGGGAGTGTTTTCATCAGTTAACAAAACTACCTCACCAATTCTAGGAATAGTGTTGTTTCCTTTCATTTTATGGCGTTGTTGTCGTCGTTCTTTAAGAAAATTTAAGTATTCGTGCTGCCAAGTATTCCAGAATTTATTTTGAATACGAAGAGAATTTTTATATGTTGTTAATAATTTTTCGGGCGCGCATAAGTCTGGTTTCCATTCTTCCTCTTCATTATCTTTTATTGGAGGGAGTCCGGGTTCTCCGCTTTCCAAAAGGAAGTCGAATGGTCTTAGCGTGCGTACCGAGTCTGGGTTATCATCCATCGGAACTAAAGGTCGTGAGTTTAATATACCTTCGACCTCCGAAATGACTGTATTCATTTCGTCTAGTTGGAGGATTCTTTTGCCTACTGCGCGCTTAAATGCATTTTTTGCTAGTCCGCATAATCTTTCATAAGCGCCTCCTTCCCAGCAAGATAGCGGTACAATGAATTTCCAAGTTATTTTTTCTTTTGCTGCGAAATTCATTGTTTCGGATGAATTAATTATTTTTCCCCAGATTTCATCTAAAGTTTTAGCTGTTAGATGAAAGTTTGTTGCATTATCAGATAATATATAGCTAGGTCGGCCTCTTTTTGCTATGAACCGGCGTAATGCGTTTAGAAATGTTTTTGCTGATAAATCTAAAACGCTATCTAGCCATACTGCTCTGGTCGCTAAGCAAGTTATTAATAATACCCAAAGCTTGTGTTTGCTGTTGTCGGGCATTGTAACTAGTGTTGGGCCTAGATAATCCAATCCAATGTTTGCAAATACAGGCGATTTTTGCATGCGTTCTATTGGATATGGAGGAAATGGCGGGAGCGTATACGGTAGTAATTTGCTTCTTTTACAGTCCAGACATTTCCCTAGTATTTTGCGTGTGCTTCGCTTGGTAATTCCGCAAAATTTTTGAATCAGGGAGTAGTGAGTTAATTGTACTCCAGAATGGAAGTGTTTTTTATGCACGCTTAATACGATTAGTTGCGTTAATTTATCCTCCTTTGGCAGAAATATGGGTTCAATAGAGTCGCGCGGTAGGGAGCTCCATTGCAATCTGCTTTTAGAACGCCATAATCCGTTTTTGTCTTCAAAAAGCGAGTATTCTTTTTTAATTTTTTCATTGGAGGTAAGCATGCTTCGGTTTTGCGCTTCTTTTAATAAGATTATTTCAGCAATTTTAAAATCTAAAGCAACAAATTCCTTATTGATTGAGAATTTTTCTAATAGCTTATTTTTATAAGAATGAGCTTTTAATGCTAAAAGTGATTTTAAGAAGCGAAGAATAAACATAATGCACATTAGCATTTTTTCCCAGCTGCTAAAGCGAGCAGGATCGATCTCTGGTCGCTTCTTTTCTTCTACTTTAGGCAGTGCGAATTGTGCAATAAATTCTTCCCCTTCATCTTTTGGAGGGGTAATGATTTTTTGTGGCCATTCCTTTTCGTTTTTTAGCCAAACTGGACCATACCACCAATTTTTTGCGTAGGCTAGCTCTTTAGCTTTGATCCCTCGCGTGGCTAGGTCAGCAGGATTAGAAGCGGTATCGACATGTCGGAAAGAAATGTCATGATTTCGAATTTCTTTTAAGCGATTGGCAATAAATACTGGTTGTCTTTCGGTTGATGCAATCCAGCTAAGCGCTATTTCGCTGTCGGTCCAAAGTATTGTTTTTGCTCCCTCTAATCCCATTTCTTTTTTAATAAAGTTTCCCGCTCGAACACCTATGACTATACCCAATAATTCTAATTTCGGTATAGTAATTTTTGAATTTATTGGCGCGAGGCGACTTCTTGCAAATACTAAATTTGTTTTGCTTTCTTTATCGCTTATTGTTTGTATGTATACGGCGGTTGCGTAACAAGTTAGTGCAGCGTCACAAAAAATATGTATTTGCGAAGAATGATTTTGCTTTATGCCAAGTGAGCGGGGTAGCTCTATGACCGCGTCTTCCCACTCTTTGGCTATTTCCATCCATTCTATTTGTTTCTCCTCTGGTAGGGGTGTGTCCCATTTTAATTTTATTTCCCAGAGTGATTGGAAGAATATGCGCGCTTTGAGTGAGGCGGGATAGAGCAATCCGAGTGGATCAAAAATACTGTTTAGGATCCGGAGAATTTTTCGCATAGTCCAATCCACCGAATTAGCTTTAGGGAATATAAATTTGATTTTGTCTTCGCCATTATCCCAACTTATTCCGAGGAATTTTTTGTGAGGTGCTATTTTTGCGGTTTCCTCTAATTCGCTCAAAACATTTTCATTATTAGCCAAAAATTCGCGTAATTCCATATTAGCGTCTAGAAAAATTTCGCGAATAATTTTAATTTTCTCTCTGCCTTCTTCTTCGGAGTTGGCTGTGAGCAATATATTGTCCATGTAAATAGAATTTTCCACTTCTTTAGCAATACTAGGATATTTTCTCGCGATTGCCGAATTTCTCAAGTGGTGTATTACAGTAGCTCCCAGCAAAAAAGGAGAGGAAACTGCTCCAAAGAGAACTCGCCGAAAGCGCATTATTTTTATGTTGGCTTGCGTAGGTGGCTTGTTTAGGTCTTTTAACCAAAGAAATCGTGTTAGATCTCTATCCTCTTTGTGCAGCTCTAACATTAAAAATGCAGCTTTAATATCGCAGGCGATTACTATTTTGGCTTGGCGCCAGCGTAAGAGAACGGCCGCAACCTTTGGCAGTAATACCGGGCCGCGATATAGTGTGTCATTTAAAGATGGGTGCCCTTTAATGTGAGCTGAACAATCAAAAACTATGCGCAATTTTTTCTTATCTTGTCGATAAACCGCTTGATGGGGTATAAAATGGCATAGAATTTCTGTTTCTTGTTCTGCTTCAGGTATTTCCTCAATTATTTTTTCGTTTAATTGGTCGGTAAATGTTTTGTCGTACATTTCTAATAAGTTTGGCGGATCTTCTATGCTTTTTAATTTGCGCAATGTAGAATTTAAGCGACTTAGGCATAGATTTTTATTTGTAGGTAAAGGCGGCGCGTTTGGGCGTCGAGGCAGGCGGACGCAATAACTATTTCCGTTTTTTGTAATCGTTTTATCGAATAAGTTTTGCGCGCTTTCGTCCTCATTTTCAGTTGGCGAATCATTAATGCCAATGCCCTCCAGGCCGTAAAGTTTTTGTTGATCCGTTAAATTTTCGAAAAGTCCATAAGTAAGAACATTTTCGTTACCGTAGCAATTAATACCGTTTGCGTTTTTTAGATTAATTTTACCGCAAACTATTGGACCTAAAAGCGTTTCAACTATGCATATTCCTCTGGGTAAGTGCTCTATATTTGTGACTAATTCCCAGAAGTGGTCCATTCCTATTAATATTTCTGTTTCGTAGTTTTCGGTAGGGATGTTTATTTTTTCCTGCTTTTGCTTTTTGCGTAATAGGTGTATTTCGCGATCGGTTAGCTTTGCTGTAGCTATTTTACCGGTGATTTTTTCGGCAGTGCAAAATCGAAATTCTTTAAATTCTAATTTTTGCCGCCAATTTTTACGAAGTCCAAGCTTTAATTGCACGCTTTTACTTGCGAATGAGGTTGCGTGATTAAACATCCCTTGTGCATTAATTGTTATTTCAGGCGCTTCTTTTAAATCAATAGCTAGTTTGCTCGCCAATTCTTTTTTAATAAATGATCTAGAGGAACCTGGGTCAATGAATGCTTTAATGCCTCTCACAACCTTTCCATTTCCTGCTAGGACAGATATTTGGCGTGTCATTAAAAGAATGTCGTTTAGCGCCTTTGATTGCGTTGCAAGAGAGTGCTGTTGGACTGTTTCACTCGCTTGTTTTTCAATAGCGAATTTTTTGCAAACAATTTCTTTATGGTCCCCATTGCATAATCTGCATTTGTATTTTGCGGGGCAAACATTATGATTTGCGTCTTTAAAGCACCAAAAGCATTTTTTCAAAAGTGCGAGTCTTTTTTGGCGTGCTTCTCCTGTTGAGTATTTTTGGCACGCTGTGCTTCTGTGTGACTCATCATTGCAAAAAATACACGGTAAAATTTTGCGCTCTTGTTTTTGTTTACGCAATTGCGGTTTGTTTTTTTGTGCATTATTTTTGAATGCAAAATTCTGTTTTGTTTGTTGCGCGTTCGAGTTAAAAAATACCCGCGCATTTTCCGAAAAATTATTTTCCGGTTTTAGCCTCTTTTCATTTTTGAATTTATTTTCTAATTGAGGCATTCTATTCACTTTTTCGTGCAGTTCGATGATTTTTGCTAATTTTTTAAGTACCTTTTCTGTGTCCCATATGAAAGGTTCGTCGTCGTCGCTTTCTTCACATCTTGTCATAGCTTTTTGTTTGGCTTTTTCCAGTTCAAGAAGAATCCATTTCGGTAGTTTTTCTTCAATAACTGATGTGATGAAAGATTGGTTTGTATTTTCTCCCATTTGTTGTAGTTGTTGAATAATTCTGTCGATATTGTCTGTTATTAATCGAATAGAATTTATGAATTTATTTGCTGGAGGAAGAGCTCTTAATTCGGCGCGCAGATTAGCTTTTATGCGCTCTTCATCCCCATATCGCTCTCGAAGTTTATTTATTGCAATATGGTAATTTGCCTCCGTTATAAAATAATTTTGAATTAATTTTTTCGCTTCGCCTTTTACGCAACCGTTTAAATAGTTGAATCTATCTATATCGGTTAAAAGCGCGTTTTCGTGAATGGCAGAGCGATAATTGTCCCAAAATGATGGCCAAAGGTTTAGATCGCCATAAAACTCAGGTAATGAATTTTTAGGCAAGCGTATTTGTGAGTGTCTATTTGGCGTCGCTTGGCGAATGGATGAGGCGCGGTCAGAGTCAATACTTTTTTGCCTTATAGCATTCTCTCCAATTTCTATGGAGGTGCCAAGGTCAACCGCTAGTTCGTTCGCCTCTTCGATTTTTACCAAAAGCCCTTCTTCTCCTCCTGCCACAGCCTCATAGAGTGAATTTTCTCTCTCTGCTTGCTCAGGCTGTGATTGGACGATTACTTTTGTCCAATTTTCAGTGAGGTTTGATATTCTGGAAAGGGTCCGCTCTAGCTTTGAATTAGCATTTTTGAGTTTTTGCACCCAATGAGTCCAGTTTTCAATCTCCTCATTCTGATTTGGCCTCTCATCCAAAAGCGTTTTTGCTTCTGCGATTGCACGAATGAGAGTTGATTTTGCGGGTCCTAAGCTTTGGCGTATGGGTCCGCTCATTTTTTCGCGTTTGGCTATTTTTGCGCTTGCGAAAATTTAATATGCGTTTAGGTTCAGATTTGCCGTTGCACCACTTTTGTAGCGGTTGTATAAACTCGCCACAAATTAATTTAATTAAAAATATAAAAAACTTATATTTTTTATTTATTTTATTTTTCCAACAAAACAGGAGAAATTTTATTTATTTAAAAAAACTTATTTTTTAATAAAAAAAGCTAAGTGAATAATGAAGGCGAGAAGAAGTATATTATTTAAATCCAACAAAAACTTAAAGTGAATAAGAGAAGTGAGCAGTGAATAATAAAACTAAGGTGTATTTAAAAGGAAATAGGAAAAAGATAAGATCGTGGGAATGTAATTTAGTTAATAATATATTTTTATATGTTTACGTGGAGTTGTCCACGACAAAATACCTGTATTCCCAAGTTCTTCAAATATTTCTTAACAATTTCATTATTGGCAATTTCAATCAAAATTCGCGTTTTTAATTGTGTGGTATATTTCGAACAATTATTTAGTTTGACAACAAAAACTTTTTTAACAGGATCCATTTTAATTTTACAAAACGACTCAGTTTTTTTTATTGAAATAGTTTTCAATTTTATTTCCCTTATTTACATTTATTATCAATACAAAACGTTCCTTTATTTGAATATTTTTTAAATAAATAAATTCTCTTTTTTCTTCCCAATCTTCTTTTATTTTTAATCCCACATCAACCATTCTACCGTTGATTTGGATATTCAACAGAACAACCAAATATAAGAGAAGAATAATAATAAATTTATTCATCATTAATTCTAATATTAAAAATATTTTATAATATATTTAAAAATATAAACTATTGCAATTATATTTAAGGTTAAAAGTAAAAATTTTATTCAATTTTTAAAATAAAGACATAGGTTCGTTTTGTAATATTCTTACGGGTCTGGTAACAGTTAACATTAAACAGTTAATTAAATCTATTTGTTTTAATTGATATTTAAATTTATTTAATGTTGGAGGATTAAATAAATGTTGCTAAAGAAAAATATTTATGAGAATTTATAAATCTGGAATATGAATTTATTCAGAATATTCTATTATATTAGAAATAATATATGTACAAGAAAAAACCAAACAGAACTTTTAGAACGTTATACTTATTATATGAGGCTTAACATAAATATTTCCTTTTTTTAAAGTTTAATTAAATGCTAAGTGTATACAATTAAAAAAACAACGAGTACATACAAATTTTACTGATTGACTTTATTAATCGTAGATTTTTTAATTTTATTAAGCGGGAAAAAAAAAAAATAGGACAACTTTTGAAATTTTTGTTGACCAAAAAATTACAAAGCATATATGATTAAATTCAAAAGAATCCGATCTTTGAATGTAATTGTACTTCAGTACAATTTTATGTACAAATTTTTTCTCATGTCACGTGTCAAATTCACTTAATGTTTGTGCTATTTTAAAAATTATTGTAAAGCAAATAGATTTTAATTCTTAAATTATTGCAGGAGGAGGTTGATTATGTAGCAAATCATTCCGGTGAACATAAGAAAAATTAGCTAAATGGGAAAAAGTTAGCCAATTTGATCTTACTTATATTTAAAGTAGTTGAACTATTTAAAAATCATTTTTATTCTTTTATTGAATGTCTAATATAGGGTTAAGGTTCTTAGAATAAAAAATGTAAGGTTCTTAGAATAAAAAATTCTCCTTTCATTGTTTTAAATATTCTCATTTCAATTTAAATAGAGGTCTTATAAATATTATGTCGGAATTCCGATCCTCTCAAGGTTAATGAGCAAAGAGGAATTGCCAAATATATGCTCTATTTTAAAAATGTCAATACGGACGTGTTAAAAGTGCATATTCATCATATGTGAAGCTGATGTTTGTACCTAACATAGGTGAGGAAATGTCGCAGTCAAAATGGCGGAGATTTTGGTATACTCGTAATTTTTCACTCTCCATTTTACCAAACTCCTCCCTTCAATGCTCCGTTTATAAATCAGTCAGGACTGCCAATGAATTCATTTACATTTTAAATTTATTACCATTTCAAGTCGTTTTTCTAATTGTATGTCGTTGAGTTTTGCTCAATTAAAGCATGAATAAACATGTTAAATTATAATTAATGTTATTTAGAAAATAATATAATATATTTTAATTAATATATGTATTCTTAACATTTTAAATTATAGTTAATATTATTCAGCTTACATGAAAGAGAAGTTTAGCAAAAGTTTAGCCACTGGTTAAGATTTGAAGTTGCGTCTCCTTGTCTAATTATCACTAAACGTTTACGCTCACCTCCATAGGAGCTCTACCACTGAGCGACTAAAGCATCGTTATTCTTTAAGATCGCTTGACCCGCGTCTAAGCGTTCTAAATACTTTACGTGAATCATCCTTACAATAGTAATAATTAATCATTCTTACAATTATTCATCATTACGGATGCTAGATGTAATGTCCTGTTCGGAAGAGTTGAATATTGCATTCGATTACATCAATTTTTGGAAGGTAATTGCCGTATAATATCGATATCCCTATAATGTCGATATACCAGCTATTGATAATTATAAAAATTTGGGGAAAAAATATGGCCATCCATTATAATGGATGCCCTTATCCCCAAAATTTAAATGTCAAAATTTCAAAATAAAAAAATTTAAGAAAGGTGTCTTCTTAGTTTTCCAAAATTTTCCAAAATTTTGCATACGGCGCTGAAAATCTAAAGGCATATGCAGGAATTTAGAGAGATTATGAGAAATTAAGATTGGATTTAGTGGTTAACAGAATTATCGAGAGGATTTGGATGATTAAACGATTTGTGTAGAGTGTTTGTATTTTGGTATTAGGTGGATTTGATTAGTTTAGTTTAATGTCTACGGATTAACCGGTATTTTCCTTTGGTGTTTAAGAGGAATATTGAGGGATTTGAGGGTTTATTGTTGATTGTGAGGTATTTGAGTGCTGATTGTTGATTAAGAGGGATATTAAGTAATTTGACAGTTACCCCTGATATCCCTTTAAATTCCATTAATCTTCCTAAATTCACCAATAACCACCATAATAATATTTCCGAATTCTTCTTAATATTACAAATCCACCTCAATTCGCCGATATATTTTCATGCCATAGATGGACCGTAAGTGTCAGTCCTTATGTACGGGTCCGCTAAAGTCGGCTAACCAAAGTTGCTAGTCCTTTTATTTGAAAAGTGATTAAAAATATTAAAATTCTCTTATATTTTTTTAAAGATAAAACAAAAAAAACAGCTTTAACTTTCAAAATTTCAGATGATTAAATTTAATTTTATAATTCTCATATATTTAATTATATTTTTGAAAATTCA